CCTCCGTCCCCATTTTCCCAGCACCTGCATTCCCTTCCCCTCCCCCCTTCCTCTATTTCGCCACCTCCCTTATTTTCCCCCCCCCCCCTCCTTTACTCTTCCCTTCACCCCCTTCACCCCGTTCCCTTCCCTCCTCCCCCTCTTCTATCTTTCCCTTTTCCCTTTCTCTTCCTCCCTTCCCCTTCCTCTTCCTCCCTTCCCCCTTTTTCTATTTTTCCCTTTTCCCTTTCTCCCTTTCTTGTCTATGTCTTTTTATCCCATTAATACCTAATGGAGTAATGTACTATTACATACTGCACATTAAGAGTATCACTTTATATAGATATCAAAAGAAAGAATGATGCCAAGTGTTAATAAATGTTGATAAATTATAAATAAGTAATATTGATAATTGAAGGTATGCTATTTAGTGAATCACCAAGCCATGATGTTAACATTCTCAACACGCCTTGTGGGTGGGCGGTAGTGCCAAGGGGAGGGGGGGATTCTCCATCTCCCCCCTTGATTTACATATTGCAGATGTATCCCATTGCTTTCAGGGCGATTGCATAAACAGATGTTATTGGAGATGTTATTCTCCTAATTGGGCAGGGGAGTTGTTCACAGTAACGGGGTTGATTGCTCCATTTGCCTCACGACTCACCCCTCCCTCTCTCCCTTCTGTTCTCTCTCTCTCTCTCTCTCTCTCAAAATATCAAAGACCAATTAGTATATTTATTCATCCCTTTATTTATTCATTTGCATGTTTATTTATTTGAGAGAGAGGATAAAAAAAAAAAATCACCTCAAATATTAATTCTTTATCAGTATCACGATCCTTTGTAAAATAACAAAATATTCGAAGGAAAAGAGATTACTCTAAAAGTTAGGTAAAAAGAGCTTGCATATTTTGCGAAAACTACCGTCAACAGACTAAAGTTTCTAATGCAAGTTCATTTTTTTTCTTTTTCTTTTTCTTTTCTTTTTTCTCTCTCTCGTTTTTTTTTTCTGCTGTTTCCTCTTCTTCCTCTCTTATCAATCATCTTCAAATCAACTCTGACTCCCCGATGGAATTTCGAACCAAGAAATCCTATTCCTTTATCAATTTATCTTCCCGTCACATCTTCATAATGGTCCCCCCCCCCCTCCTCTCTTACCCCTCCCCCCTCTCTTACCCCTCTCCCACCCCCTCTCTTACCCCTCTCCCACCCCCTCTCTTACCCCTCTCCCCCCCCTCTCCCACCCACCCCTCTCTTACCCCTCTCCACCCCCTCTTTACCCCTCTCCCAACCCCCCTCTGTCTTACCCCTCTCCCACCACCCCCCTCTCTTACCCCTCTCCCACCCCCCCTCTCTTACCCTTCTCCCCCCCTCCCTTACCCCTCTAACCCCCCCCCCTTTCTGTTATTCTTGCCAAATCTTGCCTCTCCTCCCCTGGGTCCTCCTTGTTCCTCCTTAAGCTTAACCTCCTCCCCCTTCGTACCCCCCCACCTCCCTCCTTGCTTTATTCCTTCCCCATCCCCCCTCCCTTCCCCATTCCCTTCCTTCCTCCTCCCTCCTCTCTTCCTTACTCTCCTTTCCAGTACCCAATATTCTTCATTCCTACCACTCTCCTCCCCTTTTCCCTCTTCCCCACCTACTTTCGTCCCTTATTCCCTACACCTTTCCCCTCTCCTCTCCCCCCTTCCTTCTTCTCCCATTTTCCCAGCACCTGCATTCCCTTCCCCCCCCCCCCTTCCTCTATTTCCCCACCTCCCTTATCCCCCCCCCCTCCCTTTACTCTTCCCTCCACCCCCTTCACCCCTTCCCCTTCCCTCCTCCCCCTCTTCTATCTTTCCCTTTTCCCTTTCTCCCTTTCTCTTCCTCCCTTCCCCTTCCTCTTCCTCCCTTCCCCCTTTTTCTATTTTTCCCTTTTCCTTTTCTCCCTTTCTCGTCTGTCTTTTTATCCCATTAATACCTAATAGAGTAATTTACTATTACGTATTGCACATTAAGAGTATCACTTTATATAAATATTAAACGAAAGAATGATGCCAAGTGTTAATAAATGTTGATAAATTATAAATAAGTAATATTGATAATTGAAGGTATGCTATTTAGTGAATCACCAAGCCATGATGTTAACATTCTCAACACGCCTTGTGGGTGGGCGGTAGTGCCAAGGGGGGGGGGGGGATTCTCCATCTCCCCCCTTGATTTACATATTGCAGATGTATCCCATTGCTTTCAGGGCGATTGCATAAACAGATGTTATTGGAGATGTTATTCTCCTAATTGGGCAGGGGAGTTGTTCACAGTAACGGGGTTGATTGCTCCATTTGCCTCACGACTCACCCCTCCCTCTCTCCCTTCTGTTCTCTCTCTCTCTCTCTCTCGCTCTCTCTACCCCTCCTTCCCTCCTGCATCCCCCTTCCCCCTCCCTTCCTCACTACCGCTCTCCCATAACCCCTCCCTCCCTACCTACCCCTCCCTCCCTAACGTTCCCCCGTCCCTCACCCTTCCCTCATCCCTTTCCTCCCTCCCTCCCTCCTTTCTGCCACCCCTCCCTCCCTACCACTCTCCCTCCCTCCCTCCCTCCCTCCCTCCCTCCTTTCCGCCACCCCTCCCTCCAACCACTCTCCCCTCCCCTCCTCCCTCCTTCCCTCCCCCCCTTTCCACTACCCCTCCTCTCCCATCCCCCTCCCCCCCACTTCGTCCAGATCCCCACCCCCCAACCCCCCACTCCTTCAAGATGATGAACGAGCGGCGTGACGTCGATCACTCTGCTTCAGATTTTAGCGGAATGATTGGCACGCGGAAGTTGATTAATGCTAATACAATTTGCAACTCCTTGATTACTCGAGAATTATTTTTGTTGTTGTTGTGGTAGTGGGTTGGTGTCTTAGTTTGTGGGCGTGTGTTTGTTTGGGTTCGAAGTAGTGTGTGTATGTTATGTTCTATTGTTTTTTCGTGTGTATTTCAGAGTGTGTGGGCGAGTATGTGTATTTGTGTGTGCTTAGGGATATTTGTGTGTGTATGGGTCTATTCTCATTGAATTCTATCTTTCTCCTCTTTCTCCTGTATCTTTCTCTCCTTCTTCGTCTCCTTACCCATTTTCTACCTTTCTTACGTATGTCATCTCCTTTCTTTTATATTCTATCTCCTGTTTCTTTTTCTTCTTCCTTTCCCATTCTATCAATTCACTTCCTTTTCTTCCTTTTTTTTCGATCTTTCTCTCCTTCCTCCCTTTCTTTCTCTCCTATTCATTCTTTTCTTCATTTATTCCTCCTCCTCTTCCCTGTCTATCTCTCCCTTTCATCTGTATCTTCCTCTTGCTTGTTATCTTGCTTTCTCTCCTCCAGTTCGTTCTCTTTCATTTATTTCCTCCTCCTCTTCCCTGTCTATCTTTCTGTCTCTCCTGTTCGTTCTCTTTCAGTTATTCCGTCCTCCTCTTCCCTGTCTATCTTTCTTTCTCTCCTCCTGTTCGTTCTCTTTCATGTATTTCCCTCTCCTCTTCCCTGTCCACCTTTCTGCCTATCCTCCTGTTCGTTCTCTTTCATTTATTTCCTCCTCCTCTTCCCTGTTCTCTCTTTTTTTCCCTCATGAGATTCCCCAAAAATGCAACAGTACATGTCTAATCCCCCCCTCCCCCCCCCCACAGGACCCGCCATCGTCCGCATTAACATCATGATTAGGAATGTGGAGACGATATCTGACGTCAAGATGGTAATTATGTCTTATTCTTGTTCTGTTTTATTTTAAGGTTTATTTATTTTTACTTTTATTGGACCAGTTTTAGTTACTTTTATTTCTTTCGTTCTTTCGGTGTGTATGTCTTTCTTTCTTTTTTATTACTTTAGTGATATCAGTGTCATCACGTGTTTGGTGATTTCTCAATTATCGGTCTATTTCGTTTTTGATTCTTTGTTATGTTTTTTTTTTTCTCTTACGTTATTCACGTCCATTTTCTTTCCTTGTCGTCTTTTAATTCGTATTCATAATGACATTAATTCCTTGTTATTCACTTATACATAATCTGTTTTTTTTTTTTTCTCTCTCTCTCTTTCTTTTCATGTTTATAAAGTCTTAATTAACTTAGGATATATATCTGAAAAAAAATAGGCGATAGCACATGGAAATAACTGTCTAACTGGTATTCAAAAATTTCCCTTACAGGAATACAGTATACAGATCTATTTCCGAGAACAGTGGAAGGATCATCGTCTAACCTTCAACAATATGGGAGGTGGGTGTTCTTTTTCACTTATTTAACTTTAAAGAAGGTAATTACCTCTAATTGCATAAGTTGTGAATGTAAAGACAAAAGGTGTTAGTGTGTTAGTGATAGTGTAAGTGTGTGTGTGTGTGTGTGTGTGTGTGTGTGTGTGTGTGTGTGTGTGTGTGTGTGTGTGTGTGTGTGTGTGTGTGTGTGTGTGTGTGTGTGTGTTAGAGTGTGTGTGTGTGTGTGTGTGTGTGTGTGTGTGTGTGTATGTGTTTGTTAGTGTGTGTGTGTGTTTTAGTGTGTATGTGTCTGTGTGTGTGTGTTCTCATTATAACATGTAATTTTAAAGATATCAAACACATATTTTGCATTATTACATTATTCATTCCCATTTTTCCCCTTTTCATCATGAGCGTTTGTGTCTACGTCGGTCTGTGTGTGGGTGCAACAAAGAGTCTAATTATAAAGAGCAATATCAAGAGCCGAGAGGTCACGGCAAATTAGTTGCACAGAACTTTACTAACTGTGCTGTATGCAAAAACGGAATTAATAAATAGATTGATAGATAAAAAGACAATAATAGATTTAAAAAATAACAGTAAACAATAGATAATTTGATAAAGATAAAGATAAATCAACAAAACAGTAGAGAACTTGATAGGCTATAGATAAAGATAACAATAGATAAAAATATAAAAAAAACAATAGATAATTTGACATACTATAGATAAAAAAACACCAATAAATAAAAACTAACAAAAAAATGTGAATAATTTGACAGAATATAGATAAAAAATAATAATAAATAAAAACTAACAAAAAAATGATAGACATCTCGATAGACTACAGCGCAAAATCCCCCCCCCCAAAAAAAAATCCCAAAGCATCACGTCTTAAGACTTTCTATCCCGGGATGTACGTTATGTAGGCTAGAGCAGGGTACACCAACTTCTTTTTTTTTCTGACGTTTTATCCCACAGGACGTATCAAGTACCTGACGCTCACAGAGGCTGACATGGTGTGGATGCCTGACTTGTTCTTCAAGAACGAGAAGGAGGGACATTTTCACAAGATTATCCTTCCTAATTTCTACATCCGAATCTATCCCGATGGCGGAGTCCTCTACAGTATCCGGTGCGTGATTAGTGACCTGCTTTTTTTGTTGTTGTTTTTGTTTTTGTTTTTTGTTTTTGTTTGTTTGTTTGTTTTTTGAGAGGGTGGAGTCGTGTACAGCATGGTGTGTGTTTGTGATTTTTTTTTTTTTTTTTTTTTTTTTTTTTTTTTTTTGAGAGGAAGGGGGTTGAGGAGAAAGAGGGGGGGTGAGGGCGAGAAGAGAGGGGTGGGGTCTGGGATGTATATTTCTCTCTTCCTTTGTCTCTCATTCCCTTTTCTCGTTCTTTTTTCCTCCTTGTATTTCTCTTCATCTCTCTCTCTCTCTCTCTCTCTCTCTCTCTCTCTCTCTCTCTCTCTCTCTCTCTCTCTCGTTCGAGCCCTAAACCCTCTAACTCTCCTTTTCTGTCTGTCTGTCCATTATTCTTCTTCTACGTTCTCTCTCTCCCCTTCCCCTCCCAACCCTTCTCTCTCTTTCTGTCTTAGTCTCTTTCTGTCTGTCGGTCTCTATCTCTCTCTCTCTCTCTCTCTCTCTCTCTCTCTCTCTCTCTCTCTCTCTCTCTCTCTCTCTCTCTCTCTCTCTTTCTTTCCCTCTCCTTCTCCCTCTCCCTCTTCCTCTCCCTCTCCCTCTCCCTCTCTCTCACTCACACTCTCCACCCCCCTCCCTCTTTTTATCCCTCTCCCTCTCACCCACTCTCCTTCCCCTTCTACCACTCCCTCCCTCTCCCCCTCTCTCCTTTTTCATTCCCCATCTCCGACCCAAGTACACTCGTTCTCGATCTCTGGGCCAGGTAATCAACGCTGAAAGACTGATAAGCTAAAGAATTGTTTAGATTTCCTATTAAAAGAAAGGATTGGAAACTGTGCATTCAGAAGTGGTAGTTAAAAATATTCTCGTTCAAGGGGTACAGGAGGGAGAGTACATATAAAGCGCTTCGTGTTTGATAAGAACGCTAATATGAGCTGTTGTTGTTGTTGTTTTCATTCTCTCTTTTACTTTCTTTTTTTTCGGTATCTTAGTTGTTCGTGTTTTGAATATTGCTAGTAGTCATATTGTTGTTGTTTTCCGTGTGTGTTACTTTTATTGTCTGTTTTTTTCTTTCTTTCTTTTTTCTTTTGATTCAGAGGTACTGTTGATATTTCATGGTTATTCCACAAGTCCCACTTCTTTTTTCTATTTTGATTAATCTTCCATTCTTTTCTTTTCTTTTTGGCTTATCAAATAACATATCTCCCCCTCAGTCTCCAAGGTCTTCATATCAATTTATTCCTTATATCTATTTTCACAGAATCTCGCTGACGTTATCTTGCCCGATGGACCTGAAGCTGTTCCCCCTCGATCGTCAGCAGTGTCAGCTCCTTATGGCTTCTTGTGAGTACTGCTCTTCCCTAAAAGAAAAAAAAATCGCAAAGAGACAAAGATAGAGATGATGAATATATGTGTGATGGTATAGATGATTGTGAAGGTGGTGATGATGAAGTTAATGTTGATAATAATAATTATGATGATGATGATGATAAAGATATCGGTAACAGTAACAATATTAATGATAATAACCGTAATAATACGAAGACGAGAGGGAAAAACAAAAACGGTACCTTCAGAAATCACTATTTTTCTCGATTTTTTTCCGGTCCAATATAGGTGGGAAAAAAGTTTAAAAGCACGCGCTTTAGTTCTTACGAAACCAGCTGATTTTTCTTCTTCTTCTTCTTCTTCTTCTTCTTTTCTATTCTTCTTCTTCTTTGATAAGGGATCAGAAAGAGCATGGTCGTGCTTTTAACTTAAAGAAGGGGGAAAAAAACATAAAAGGATTTTTTTTTCTCTCCCTCACTGTTGTTTCTCTCTCACTCTTTTTTTTTTTCTCTCTCTCACACACTCTCTCTGTCTCTGTCTGTCTGTCTCTCTCTCTCTCTCTCTCTCTCTCTCTCTCTCTCTCTCTCTCTCTCTCTCTCTCTCTCTCTCTCTCTCTCTGTCTGTTTGCATTTTGCACGCAAAATGCAAAGTGCGCCATTCCAAAATAAAAGTATAGAAACACGACTGCTATTGCAAATGGCAGAATCAACACAAAGATCCTCTATTCTCCGTCAATAAAAAGGCTGACGATAAGTGTCGAGGATGCAAGATGCACTGTAAACAGAATTTCCATTTGTAATAGAACGAAAGATTTTTTTTTTTTTTTTTTGTCAGCATACATTTTGGAATCAAAT